TAGAGGGGCAACTGATAATCAGGATCATTATTTAGTTGTAGCTACAGTTAGAGTAAGAGGTAGATGGGAAAAGAGGAAGGTGGCAACAACAAGTAAGAGGGAGGTGAAAGTGTATAAACTAAGGGAGGAGGAAGTTCGGGCGAGATATAAGCGACTATTGGCAGAAAGGTGGGCTAGTGCAAAGATGAGTAGTGGGGGGGTTGAAGAGGGTTAGAATAGTTTTAAAAATGCAGTATTAGAATGTGGGGCAGAAGTTTGTGGTTATAGGAGGGTGGGGGCAGGAGGAAAGAGGAGTGATTGGTGGAATGAGTTTCAGTGGAGAGGAATAAATGGGATTAGGTCTGGGGTTTCAAATAGAGCTAAAGGAGGAGTAGCAATAATGTTGAAGGATTAGCTATGGTAGGAAAAGAGGGAGTATAAATGTATTAATTCAAGGATTATGTGGAGTAAAATAAAGGTTGGATGTGAAAAGTGGGTTATAGTAAGCATATATGGGGATGGAGGAAGGGAGAAGTGTAGAGGAGATAGAGATATTGGGAAATGTTGAGTGAATGAATGGGGGTTTTGAAACAAGTGTGAGAGTGCTTGTGGTTGGGGATTTCAATGCTGAAGTGGGTAAAAATATTGTGAGGGAGTAGTAAAGTAAATTTGGGGTGCCAGGGTAAATGAAAATGGGGAGCCTTTAATTGAGCTATGTGTGGAAAGAGGTTTGGTAATAAGTAGTACATATTTTATAGACATTTTATGAAAAAGTGGATAAATAATTATACAAGGTATGATATAGCACATAATGAAAGTAGTTTGTTAGATTATGTATTGGTGGATAAAAGGTTGATGGGTAGGCTTCAGGATGTACATGTTTATAGAGGGGCAACAGATATATCGGATCATTATCTAGTTAGCTACAGTTAGAGTAAGAGGTAGATGGGACAAGAGGAAAATGGCAACAACAAGTAAGAGGGAGGTGAAAGTGTATAAACTAAGGAAGGAGGAAGTTCGGGTGAGATATAAGCAACTATTGGCAGAAAGGTGGGCTGGCGCAAGTATGAGTAGTGGGGAGGTTGAAGAGGGTTGGAATAGTTTTAAAAATGCAGTACAGTATTAGAATGTGGGGCAGAAGTTTGTGGTTATAGGAGGGTGGGTGCAGGAGGAAAGAGGAGTGATTGGTGGAATGATGAAGTAAAGAGTGTGATAAAAGAGAAAAAGTTAGCTAATGATAGGTTTTTACAAAGAAGTGTTATAAGAAGAGTAGAGTATATGGAGAGTAAAAGAAAGGTGAAGAGAGTGGTGAGAGAGTGCAAAAGGAAGCAATGATAGAGGGGGAGAGGCACTGTCAAAAAATTTTAATGAAAATAAGAAAAAAATTTGGAGTGACTTAAACAAGTTAAGAAAGCCTAGGGAACAAATGGATTTGTCAGTTAAAAACAGATTAGGAGAGTTAGTAGATGGGGAGATGGAAATATTGGGTAGATGGTGAGAATACTTTGAGGAACTTTTAAATGTTGATGAAAGGGAGGCGGTAATTTCATGCACTGGCCAGGGAGGTATACCATCTTTTAGGAGTGAAGAAGAGCAGGATGTAAGTGTGGGGGAGGTGCGTGAGGCATTACATAGAATGAAAGGGGGTAAAGCAGCTGGAACTGATGGGATCATGACAAATGTTAAAAGCAGGGGGGGATATAGTGTTGGAGTGGTTGGCATTTGTGTTTAATAAATGTATGAAAGAGGGGAAAGGTACCTGGGGATTGGCAGAGAAACATGTATATTTCCCTTTATATAAAAAGGAAGGAGGACAAGAGAGTTTGTAAAAATTATAGAGGAATTAGTTTACCGAGTATACCAGGAAAAGTGTACGGTAGGGTTATTATTGAAAGAATTAGAGGTAAGACAGAATGTAGGATTGCGGATGAGCAAGGAGGTTTTAGAGTGGGTAGGGGATGTGTAGATCAGGTGTTTACATTGAAGCATATATGTTTTTATTGCATTTATGGATTTTGAAAAGGCATATGATATAGTGGATAGGGGAGCAATGTGGCAGATGTTGCAAGTATATGGAATAGGTGGTAAGTTACTAAATGCTGTAAAGAGTTTTTATGAGGATAGTGAGGCTCAGGTTAGGGTGTGTAGAAGAGAGGGAGACTACTTCCCGGTAAAAGTAGATCTTAGACAGGGATGTGTAATGCCACCATGGTTGTTTAATATATTTATAGATGGGGTTGTAAAAGAAGTAAATGCTATGGTGTTCGGGAGAGGGGTGAGATTAAATTATGGGGAATCAAATACAAAATGGGAAGTGACACAGTTACTTTTTGCTGATACTGTGCTTATGGGTGATTATAAAGAAAAATTGCAGAGGTTAGTGGACGTATTTGGGAGTGTGTATAAAGGCAGAAAGTTGAAAGTGAATATATAAAAGAGTAAGGCGATGAGGGTATGAAATGATTTAGATAAAGAAAAATTGGATATCAAATTGGGGAAGAGGAGTATGGAAGAAGTGAATGTTTTCAGATATTTGGGAGTTGACGTATCAGCGGATGGATTTATGAAGGATGAGGTTAATCATAGAATTGATGAGAGAAAAATGGTGAGTGGTGTGTTGAGGTATATATGGAGACAAAGAACATTATCTATGGAGGCAAAGAAGGGAATGTATGAAAGTATAGTGGTACCAACACTCTTATATGGGTGTGAAGTTTGGGGTTGTAAATGCTGCAGCGAGGAGGCGGTTGGAGGCAGTGGAGAGGTTCCTGTAAGGGCAATTTTGTGGTGAAATATTATGCAGAAAATTTGGAGTGTGGAAATTAGGAGAAGGTGTGGAGTTGATAAAAGTATTAGTCAGAGGGCTGAAGAGGGGTTGTTGAGGTGGTTTGGTCATTTAGAGAGAATGGATCAAAGTAGAATGACATGGAGAGTGTATAAATCTGTAGGGGAAGGAAGGCGGGGTAGGGGTCGTCCTTGAAAGGGTTTGAGAGAGGGGGTAAAGGAGGTTATGTGGGCAAGGGGCTTGGATTTCCAGCAAGCGTGCACGAGCGTGTTAGGAGTGAATGGAGACGAATGGTATTTGGGACCTGACGAGCTGTTGGAATGTGAGCAGGGTAATATTTAGTGAAGGGATTCAGGGAAACCAGTTGTTTTATATAGCCGGACTTGAGTCCTGGAAATGGGAGGTACAATGCCTGCACTTTAAAGGAGGGGTTTTGGGATATTAGCAGTTTGGAGGGATATGTTGTGTATCTTTATACATATATACTTCTAAACTGTTGTATTCTGAGCACCTCTGCAAAAAGTGATTATGTGTGAGTGAGGTGAAAGTGTTGAATGATGAAAGTATTTTCTTTTTGGGGATTATCTTTCTTTTTGGTTCACCCTGCCTCGGTGGGAGATGGCCGAATTTTTAAAAAAAAAAAATATGCATTAGGAAGCTACAAATGGGAGTGAGTGAGTAGAGTTTTCTTGTTAAACCAGAGACCTGATGTAGGAGTTTCACACTTCAATGATTCCAAAAAAGCTTCACTTCTAATACCTTGCCTTCCTCTGTTCTCCTGTACTTAGTTTGGGGTAAAAGTAGTGGTAATGAGAGTACTGTATGGTGCTGGTAGTATTATTCTGGTATTGTACTGCTAGTGTATTATTAGTAGTATTGGTAGTGTGCTGATAATAGTGGTACAGGGTGTGTGGTGGAGTATACATGCATGTTGTAACTGTAACCTTTGTATGAGAAGTATATGTGCTTGAATGTTGAAGTCAGTGGCATATGGTGGGTTGTTGTCACAGGGTGTGTGCTGTTCATCTGCACACTGCCATAACAACATACTGGAGCAAAAGATATGGGAGGAAGTGCAAAATAAACCCAGTGAAAGCAGATGTGCAGTGGGCACAATAAGGGAATGCTGTATCAACATCCGTGGCTGCAGATTATTACACTGGTGGAACAAATATAGAAGTCTTCAAGTATCTTCACCAGGTGCCATATCAGCATGGCCGTAATGGATGTGTGGGGCAGTAGGCCACCAGTAGCAACAGCCTGGTTGACCAATCAAGCACCAGACAAGCCTGGCCCATGGCTGGGTTCCAGGAGTAGAAAGACTTGAAACTCATCAAAGGTATATCAAGGATAAAGGTGTCTACAGCTAGCTGTGGGGTGCGTAGTGCTGTCTTGTAACAACTGTCACAATATGTCATAACATGGGACAGAAAAATTAGTTTACCATTAAGATTCATGATTATATGATTGAATGAGCTTAATGTTTATGATGAATTTACCATCTTTGGTGGATGTACAGCACACACCTAGTACACACACAATATACACACCTGATTGAAGTCCCTTGAATTTTGTGTGCTTATGTGTTTCATGATACATTCTTGATGCCCTATGTATTTGCTCATTTACCTTGAGGCCCTTTCTGTGAGTTTATTCATGTTTCACTTGATACTTCTTTTCTTTACTTACTCATGTTTCACTTGAAATTGTAAAAGGCTTTCATCAATTTTGTGGATGACCTGGAAGAGGAGCAGTTATTGTTATTTCCCTCAACTTACCTGCTTATCAGTGGCTCCATAAAGCTTACAGTTGATAGTAAGATACAAGAATGTCTCACCTGTATTTGTAGCTCCTTTTGTACTTTTAGTCACGTTTCTTATAGTGCCCATTTTGTGCTCTTACTCAAGTTTCTCATGGTGTCACTTTTGTATGCTTGTGCTTCTCGTGATGCTCCTGGGTATGTAAGTTATGATAAAAAATTGATTTCCATTGTTTTATACACCTGTTTCTTACAATAGTTTTTTATCCATTCAGGTCGATTTCCTTCCCACCTGAGGGAAGTAGAAAATAAGTTAATGTTGATAATGTCTATTGCAAAACATGTCAATCACCTGTTCTCAGTGATTGACATAAATACATATTCTCTTTACCATAATTTAATGTATTGCATTAGGTATTTTTTGCTCATTATAATGAGCATTGAATCATTTAAATGAATTTTGTCTTTGTGACTCAGACTGGTCCACAAGGTTTCCCGAGGAACAGGCATACAGGGTACCATCCACTCTGGTGAAGAAGGTGGAGGAGGGAAAGCTGGGCAGGAAGACTGGTGAGGGCTTCTACAAATATAATTAAAGAAAAAATGCCATTGTTTTCATCTTCTGGAGAGTTACAAGACACATCAGGCACACATGCACACACTGCATGAGCAGCAACATAAGTCTTTTATATAACTCACTAACATAGCTCTAGAAGCAGGAAGCAGCATTTATATAAAAATCTTAAGATTATTATATTAATAGTTAAACTACTCATTGTTAATGTGACTTCAGGGATTTTGGGTGTGTTGCTCTAGAATGTTAATTTTGTGTGTTGATATTTTTGTTGTACTAATGAAATTCCTTGTACACTCTTAAATGTTTTGCATTTAAAGTTGGACTCCTTTTTAACCTTTGTTACAGTAGAGCTTCAGTTAACATGAGGGTTGCATTTCTGAATATTGATTTATTGTATGAATCAGTATTAATTCAACAGGAAATATTGGGGCCTCCAAAAAACCAAACAGTTTTTTAAATATTGGTAGGCTTAAAATATCAAAAGAAACAACTTTCTCACATCTTAAATTCTGGTTGCTTTTGCTCATTGATATGCCAAGTAAAGGAAGAGATTTTAAGTGGTCCTGCTGAACTGAGGTAGATGGCTGTTGTTCTTGCGTTAATGCTGGTGCATAGCTGTCAGAAGTTCATGGGAGTACAGGAGTACTCTAATATTTTGTAATACATTTATGCTCTTGTTTTTTCTTTTTCTTAACACACAGGCCAAGCCCCACCAAGGCAAGGTGACCCAGAAAAAGAAGAGATGAAAGTTTTTCTTCTTTTTGAATTTAGTAATTTATACAGAAGGGGGTTACTAGCCCTGTAATTGTTTTACATGATGGTAGAATTGCTGGTGTTCATTTTTCTGTCTCATAAACATGCAAGGTTTCAGGTATGTCTTGCTACTTCTACTTACACTTAGGTCACACTACACATACATGTACAAGCATATATATACACACCCCTCTGGGTTTTCTTCTATTTTCTTACTAGTTCTTGTTCTTGTTTATTTCCTCTTACCTCCATGTGGAAGTGGAACAGAATTCTTCCTCCGTAAGCCATGCGTGTTGTAAGAGGTGACTAAAATGCCAGGAGCAAGGGGCTAGTAACCCCTTCTCCTGTATATATTACTAAATGTAAAAGGAGAAACTTTTGTTTTTCCTTTTGGGCCACCCCGCCTCGGTGGGATACAGCCGGTGTGTTGAAAGAAAGAAAGGGGTTACTAGCCCCTTGCTCCCAGCATTTTAGTCACCTCTTACGACGAGACGTGGCTTGTGGAGAAAGGATTCTTCTCTACTTCCTCATGGAGCTCTGCTATGTTTTACCTTGCAGTATTTTATACAACTGCTTCAGAGCAAGGCTTCTAGATGTTTCAGGATCCTTCTTATTGAAAAAGTCTGCAAGTTGACTAGCAACATGGAATTGCTTAAGTAACTTTTCTAATGTTGTCTGTTTCTGTACAGGGTCTTCTATCACATCTTCCTCTATTACTTACCTCTCTCTTGCCTGGGAGCCTGAGTTTTCCAGCAATTCCTCTGTAGTTAGTTTTTCATCATTATCTAACAGTTCATTTATGTCTTCTTTGTGCATATCTTTGAAGCCCCTCACCTCCCACCCTCCTGTACCTAACTCCTTACTGGGGGGAAATCTGAAAAATTATGCACCACAATAGGTCATAATTTACCCCAGCTTGTATTTATTTTTGATTGGAGTATTTCATCCCATGACACTTTTTACATGTGTTAGTGCATCTGCAATGTTGAAAGCATGCATGAACTCTGGCACTTCATTCTCTTAACTGTTATCCATTAATGCGATGAGTTTTTGCATGACCTTACATGTGTAGTGGCACTTCAGTATCTTAATAACTTTTCGATTGTATTGGGTGGTAAAAATAAATCCTGCACATTTAGATCCAGAGATTGTAACTTTCAGAATAACTATGTGAATTATGGCCAGGTACATCTTCTGTGGAAATAATATAATGCTTGAACCAATCAACAAATCAGGGCTTCATTAATCCATGCTGCTCTGTTAGACTGTCAGATAACTGGCAAAGTGGTTCTATCTTATCCTTATGGTAATTTATAGCTCCTTTGTGAGCTATAAATTACCATAAGCTTGTACTTGAATTCACCTTTTTCTTCTCTCACACAGTTTTGTAGTAGGATATGACTTTCTGCCTTATTATCTGTGCATTAAGCTGAGCAGTTTTCCTGACCTTTTCCTTAGTAGATATATTCAGTACCTGTTCTGTTATATTTAGCTTTATTGACCTACAGGAGGGCCTTTGCTTACATAACATGTTAGGTTCTGGGCTACTGCTGTAAAGCAAAAATCATTGTAAAGTTAATCATAAACTGATAGCATGTTTCCACTATCAAGTATTAAGTGAGCAATATAGCTAGGCCTAAAAAATTCATATACGGTACACACATTGTACAAGAATGGTATACAATACCGACAAGATGAAACTGAGACACATGTGCAACATCTGGGTATCTTTATTGTAGACGTTTCGCCATCCAGTGGCTTTATCAATACAAATTCCAGGACATAACTTGAAGACAGTAGAACTATGTACAGAAGATAAGGTAATCAGTCCCTCAACCTTGGAGTAGATGCGAAGAGCACCGTAGTCATGGAGATTCTGAAGCAGAAGCAAGGTGCCTTACGCTTATACCCAGATGTTGCACATGTCTTAATTTCATTCAGTATACACATTACTTAACTTAAAAAATTTTCATCCTTAGCTTCTAGTGAGTAGTGAATATATTTTAGGAAGTCTTAATAAATAAAGAATAGGTATAACTGAAAACTGATGTATTAGTGGGGTCTGCTGCTTTACAGCAAAGAGCTGTAAAGAGGGGCCTGCCTGTATTTGTCATTCCTTTCAGCAAGTCTTAATCTTGATTATTCTCTGAATAAGCTCTCATCATCTCATTGCTACAAATGGAATGAATGGTTGATTCTGAGCTCAAAAGGACAGGCAGTTTTTATCACATGCATCACTTCAAACCATAGCTAGAACCTCAATTTTCTTGGAAGCTTTCAGATTTTTACATTTTATTTTCTTGTTACTACCACCAGAATCACAAATACTATAGTATTCCTTTTGGGTGCCAAGGTTAGTACCCAGAGATGAGATGGAGTGATGAAAATACTCAAAATCATTTAATAAATACAGAGGCACTATATTCATGATGTGTGCAGAAAGCAGAAAGGAACTGTAGGTACAAAAATAACCCGCACATAGGAGAGAGGAGCTTATGACGACGTTTTGGTCCGACTTGGACCATATAAAAAGTCACACTAACGAGAAGTGGAGCAGGACGGGTATATGTGGACAGGAAGTGGTCCAAGTCGGACTGAAACGTCGTCATAAGCTCCTCTCTTCTATGTGCAGGTTATTTGTGTATCGTTCCAGTCATGGTATTGTGCCTTTTTTTGTTACAACTGTAAGTAGTGTGGGTAGGATGACAAAGGTTGATGCTGAGCCTTCCCAAAAATAATGGACATGCCTGTAGGCTCATCCTGGCCTGGAATGAAATATCCTATCATGCAGCCTTCCAAATTTTCAGGCATCACAAGAATCCACGTTGATTTTACTTTTTATCACTTTACAGCACATTCAGTGGAAGGCTTTTCAGCACAAATCTGTTTACGGTTGCAGATTTTTAATCATGTTGTTGACTTGACAGTTTTCAGGTTCCCTTAAATAAGTATTTTACTGTATATTCAGTTAAGATACAATATAACATCTGCACTGTGTTCATAGTTTTGAACAAGCTGAATGTGTTGTTTCATCTTCAAATATTGCATAATAATTTTAGATAAATATTTTAGTGATGTATTATCATAATGGTTTATACTGTTTTACTGATACAATATATTGTTAGGGCTTTGAGAATAATAAAAATATTCTTGGTAAATGTTGATAAATTATTGTATATAGATTTTTTTTTTTTTCAACAAGTCGGCCGTCTCTCACCGAGGCAGGGTGACCCAAAAAAGAAAGAAAATCCCCAAAAAGAAAATACTTTCATCATCATTCAACACTTTCACCACACTCACACATTATCACTGTTTTTGTAGAGGTGCTCAGAATACAACAGTTTAGAAGCATATACGTATAAAGATACACAACATATCCCCAAACTGCCAATATCCCAAACCCCTCCTTTAAAGTGCAGGCATTGTACTTCCCATTTCCAGGACTCAAGTCCGACTATATGAAAATAACCGGTTTCCCTGAATCCCTTCACTAAATATTACCCTGCTCACACTCCAACAGATCGTCAGGTTCCAAGTATCATTCGTCTCCATTCACTCCTATCTGACACGCTCACGCACGTTTGCTGGAAGTCCGAGCCCCTCGCCCACAAAACCTTCTTTACCCCCTCTCTCCAACCCTTTCGAGGACGACCCCTACCCCTCCTTCCTTCCCCTATAGATTTATATACTTTCCATGTCATTCTACTTTGATCCATTCTCTCTAAATGACCAAACCACCTCAACAACCCCTCTTTTGCCCTCTGACTAATGCTTTTATTAACTCCACACCTTCTCCTAATTTCCACACTCCGAATTTTCTGCATAATATTTACACCACACATTGCCCTTAGACAGGACATCTCCACTGCCTCCAACCATCTCCTCGCTGCTGCATTTACCACCCAAGCTTCACATCCATATAAGAGTGTTGGTACCACTATACTTTCATACATTCCCTTCTTTGCCTCCATAGATAGCGTTTTTTGACTCGACATATACCTCAACGCACCACTCACCTTTTTTCCCTCATCAATTCTATGATTAACCTCATCCTTCATAAATCCATCCACCGACACGTCAACTCCCAAGTATCTGAAAACATTCACTTCTTCCATACTCCTCCTCCCCAATTTGATATCCAATTTTTCTTTATCTAAATCATTTGATACCCTCATCACCTTACTCTTTTCTATGTTCACTTTCAACTTTCTACCTTTACACACATTCCCAAACTCATCCAGTAACCTTTGCAATTTTTCTTTAGAATCTCCCATAAGCACAGTATCATCAGCAAAAAGTAACTGAAGAGAAGTTGCAGAGATTGGTGGATGAATTTGGTAGGGTATGCAAAAGAAGAAAATTAAAAGTGAATACAGGAAAGAGTAAGGTTATGAGGATAACAAAAAGATTAGGTGATGAAAGATTGGATATCAGATTGGAGGGAGAGAGTATGGAGGAGGTGAATTTATTCAGATATTTGGGAGTGGACGTGTCAGTGGATGGGTCTATGAAAGATGAGGTGAATCATAGAATTGATGAGGGGAAAAGGGTGAGTGGTGCACTTAGGAGTCTGTGGAGACAAAGAACTTTGTCCTTGGAGGCAAAGAGGGGAGTGTATGAGAGTATAGTTTTACCAACGCTCTTATATGGGTGTTAAGCATGGGTGATGAATGTTGCAGCGAGGAGAAGGAAGGCGGGGTAGGGGTCGGCCTAGGAAAGGTTGGAGGGAGGGGGGGGGGCAAAGGAGGTTTTGTGTGCGTGGGGCTTGGACTTCCAGCAGGCATGCGTGAGCGTGTTTGATAGAAGTGAATGGAGACAAATGGTTTTTAATACTTGACGTGCTGTTGGAGTGTAAGCAAAGTAACATTTATGAAGGGGCTCAGGGAAACCAGCAGGCCGGACTTGAGTCCTGGAGATGGGAAGTACAGTGCCTGCACTCTGAAGGAGGGGTGTTAATGTTGCAGTTTAAAAACTGTAGTGTAAAGCACCCTTCTGGAAAGACAGTGATGGAGTGAATGATGGTGAAAGTTTTTCTTTTTCGGGCCACCCTGCCCTGGTGGGAATCGGCCAGTGTGATAATAAAAAAAAAAAAAAATAATTTAATCCCACCCCTCTCCCGAACGCCCTAGCATTTACTTCTTTTACAACCCCATCTATAAATATATTAAACAACCATGGTGACATTACACATCCCTGTCTAAGACCTACTTTTACCGGGAAGTATTCTCCCTCTCTTCTACACACCCTAACATGAGCCTCACTATCCTCATAAAAACTCTTAACAGCATTTAGTAACTTACCACCTATTCCATATACTTGCCCCTTGTGGCTTAGCGCTTCTTTTTGATTATAATAATAATAATCCATATACTTGCAACATCTGCCACATTGCTCCTCTATCCACTCTATCATATGCCTTTTCTAAATCCATAAATGCAATAAAAACTTCCCTACCTTTATCTAAATACTGTTCACATATAAGCTTCAATGTAAACACTTGATCTACACATCCCCTACCCACTCTGAAGCCTCCCTGCTCATCCGCAATCCTACATTCTGTCTTACCTCTAATTCTTTCAGTTATAACCCTACCGTATACTTTTCCTGGTATACTCAGTAAACTTATTCTTCTATAATTTTTACAATCTCTTTTGTCCCCTTTCCCTTTATATAAAGGGATTATACATGCTCTCCACCAATCCCTAGGTACCTTCCCTTCTTTCATACATTTATTAAACAAAAGTACCAACCACTCCAACACTATATCCTCCCCTGCTTTTAACATTTCTGTCATGATCCCATCAGTTCCAGCTGCTTTACCCCCTTTCATTCTACGTAATGCCTCACGTACCTCCACCACACTTACATTCTGCTCTTCTTCACTCCTAAAAGATGGTATACCTCCCTGACCAGTGCATGAAATTACTGCCTCTCTTTCTTCCTTAACATTTAAAAGTTCCTCAAAATATTCTCACCATCTACCTAATACCTCCATCTCCCCATCTACTAACTCCCCTATTCTGTTTTTAACTGACAAATCCATACTTTCCCTAGGCTTTCTTAACTTGTTTAACTCACTCCAAAATTTTTTCTTATTTTCATTAAAATTTCTTGACAGTGCCTCTCCCACTCTATCATCTGCTCTCCTTTTGCACTCTCTCACCACTCTCTTCACCTTTCTTTTACTCTCCATATACTCTGCTCTTCTTATAACACTTCTGCTTTGTAAAAACCTGTCATAAGCTACCTTTTTCTCTTTTATCACACCCTTTACTTCATCATTCCACCAATCACTCCTCTTTCCTCCTGCACCCACCCTCCTATAACCACAAGCTTCTGCCCCACATTCTAATACTGCATTTTTAAAACTATTCCAACCCTCTTCAACCCCCCCACTACTCATCTTTGCTTCAAGATATCTTTACAGTCATATACAAGGTGCTTATGCAGGGGATTCATACTGCATAATTTTTTAACCACACCAACCATTTTTCCATCAAAGTGGGCTGACTCGAAGTAGGGAACACATTCACTGTCATTCATTCACCAGCTCTCTTGCAATAAGTGTGTGTAAAGCTCAGTTTAAATTACTTTTCAAACTTCAACATACCACCCATTCTTCGGAGCAAAGCACTGCTGTCTTTTTTTTCAGGCAGAACATAGACTTTGTATGTGCATGACTCCAGCAATTGTACGTTGTTTTTAGGAAGAATATATCTTGAAACAGAAAAAAACTTTCATTGACATCTGTTTTCTTGTTTCCCTGTGAGATGTGTAATTGTAATGGACATGCAATTTTGTGAATTTGATAAAAATTATGGAATAAAGGCAAAAGGAATAACAGTTTTTCTATCCTATTGTTCTGTGTTGTGTTACTTATTACATTACCCTTTGCAGACATGATTTTAAATTATGTCATTCACTTGTAATCAGATAATTTTGTCTTTACATCCATATGTACCCCTTGAAGCAGCAGCCTTGTGGTATTGGGGAATTCACATTACTTCAATTATTGGGCAGACTGTTGATAGGGCTCCAGGAGGATTGGTAGATGGTTGTTGGTGAAAGATCTCACTAATTGCTATCACTGTCATGGGATTTGTGTGTGAATTGTTAGCTCTGCCTATTATCACTTTCAGGGGCCTTTTTTTATATGATTGGGTGTCTGGGTTGGGAGACATTGGAAAAGGAGGAGTCTTTGAACTGGCATGGGAAAACTTTTATATCATGGAGCTTTGTAGTTTGGAGTACCCAAGAGTGGAGAACCTGCTATGTTGATCCATACTTAATCCCATCATTGTTCAGTTTGCAGTGTACCTCAGTTCTAAGGTCGCATTTTTCTTGATACTTTATTTGGCAACTCAGATTTATAATAAGACTGATGAGGTGAAGGATCATGCCTGCAAGTCAGCATTAGCTAGAAATTCCTTTGGGATGGGTGTTGTACATTGCAGTGCCACATTTCTGTTTTTTATTCAATTTTCCCTACCCTGATGCAGGCCAATCTAAGATTCCAAGCATTATCTTAAGATTTAGTGACTGGAGGGCTGCCAAATTAAACCCTGCCAGTAGTCTATGAGGATAATACTAGTACATATGATAATTTTTTAGTAATCATAGTTTCTGTTTGTGGACAGAAGTGAAAAATTAATACACAATCAGGTGGGAGTTTTTTTTTTCTTCTTTTGAGCACTTGCTCTATAGGATGTCTAAGGTTTCATTTGCCACTAAATTAACATCAGGTTGTGGTATTCTTCCATCATCTCCAGCATTATTTTCAAGGTTGTCTACTGAAGGAGCCAGAGAGTTAGAGGGGTAACGAAAATAGAAAAACTTAGGAATATAAGAGGAGTTTTCATACCAACATCCATTATGCTGTTGACCTCTGTTCATGTTAGCCTTACTTAAGTTGTAAAAGTGCCTTGTTTTCGATTTCCAGCCAAGACTCGTATTCTCGTCGCTGCTTTAATTGTCAGACATGCTCGTGCGAGCTGCTTCTGGCACTATAAAGTTAGGAGTCATCTGGTGTCTCCTGAACCAGTCTCATCTTCAGGATGTACAATGGTACAGCATGTCCCTATCCTATTTGTTTCCACTGTCATTTGGATGGTCATCCAGCAACTTCCCAAGAACATGATATGCATAGGTTTAAGAATCGGTTTTTCCCTTTTGGGATGAGAGTGAGCTTTGCTAAGGCCAAAGCAAGTCATTATCATAACTCTAGAAAGTAGTATGCTTTTGTACTGTCTTAACAGTAACCAATATTGTTGGGAAGTTACTTGAAAAAAGTTGCTTGAGAAAAATGGATAGTACACCTGGAAAGCAATGAAATGGATATGTGCCATCAACAGTTCGTTTTTTGATGAGAGAATTCCTGCATATTGGTACAGTATTTAGCTACCTTATTACAACACTTAAAGAAATAATTTATGAATAAAATGGATAGATGGATTGCATTTATCTGAACTTTAGGAAAGCTTAAGAAAATGTTTCTCATGAAATATTAATCTGAAAACTAAAATTGAGTCAAACAAGAAGCTGTTAATAGGGATGTCACAGGGTGCCACAGGAATCTGCTTCCTGTACAAAGTTGCTAATTTCTATAAATTATTAAAATTAAGAACTATACAAATTTGTACATCAGAAAGTAGGATTACAGAGAAGCAGGGAGGATTTATGAAGGGTAAGGGATGTGAAGCATATAAGCAAGCAGTATGTACTTAGATAAGGGTATGGAGCTGTTTATTGCATTTTTAGATTAAGAAAAGGCATATGAAAGGGTTGACATGGAAGCCATGTGGCAGATATTGCAAATGTATGGACTGGAAAGTATGTTATTAAAAGCACAGAAGTTTTTATGTACAGAGTGAGGTTCGGGTTAGGATAAATAGGAGGGAGATGGGGGAGATATTTGCCATGTTGAATTTTATGGATAGCAAAATGAACTTGTCAGTGTACTTGAGTCTCCACTGTAAATGCTACTGCTTCTGTATGTAGTCTGGAAAAGCCTGGAGAGTCAGCAGGCAAATACTCACCAGACTCTACCCCTGTCCTTACCATTGTCAGCGAAAATGTGCAGACCATCACCTCCGTGTTTCTCAAGGGCTACATTTATCCCTCTTCACTCCAAACCCAAGTGGGGTTCACCCAGCTAGATTTTATGTGACCCCTCAAGGAAGGTTCCTTGATGTTGGTGAGGGGCTCTTGATTTAGGGAATTAGATCTCTGCTCCAGTTCCCCGAATTAAGCCTGAATGCCTTCCACATCCCTCCCCAGGCGCTGTATAATCCTCCGGGCTTAGCGCTTCCCCCTTGATTATAATAATAATAATAGATTTTATATCCCATGTTGAAGAACCTTATAACATTGCATTCACACTCCAAGAATTCACATTGACCCTGAGTGCCAGCCAATAGGAACTTAGCCAGATGACATTCACATCCATATGCTTCAACACTTACACTCCACTGTATTAGTCTTCCTTGTATACCTTTTGAATTCGATTTGGCTTGACGGGGTTATATCTCCTTCACTGGGGAACAGCAGTACTCCATTTCGAAAGGAAAAAAGAGTAGAGGGAGGCACAGGAAGAGTAGTATCTTGGGGAATAGAGAAAGGCTTGAGAAAGTATCTCAAGTTGGGAACAGGGTGTAGGAGAACATGGGAAGGGTAGCGACTAGGAAATCAGTAGAAGTGGGTGGAATGTTGGGAGATGCTAAGACAGGTGACTGGGTGGGGATGTGATGAGAAGAAGTAGGAGGGGTGTGAGGTGGCACGAGAAGGTAATGGAGTAGGTAGAGGTATAAGGAGAGAGGGGAAGTAACATGAAAGGGCAGGACAGGAGGAAGGGAAGATTCTGTGGTGGGGTTGAAGGGTACAAAGGTATGGTTGCTGCTGATCATTTCATTTTGGGGTCTTGCTAGTCCCTTACTCGGCACCTCTTTTTATCTTCTTGTTTCATAACCTCTGTTTCACTAACCTCTTCTTTTTTTAAGACGTCTTCATCTGTGGAAAATTTTAATAATTTTCCTATGATTTGTTTGTACAAAATTGATAGGGATAATAATGTTTATATAATACTGTAGGTGTGTAATATTGATGTGACTTTTAAAAGGTAATAAGTCACAGGGTAACCAATATATCCCCTATGATTAACTTATTTATTGTAATCAGTTTATTAAGTAAAATGTAATTATTGTAATATGTATTTTGAAAAAAATAATATTCTGTATTATACACCTAGAAATATCAATAAATTTATGTGTGTACAAGCTAGAGAGAAAAAAAAAAGAAATATGGTGGTATGGGAAGACTAATCAACGATTTTGTCAATGTTTCTTGAAATTACAATGTCCATTAATAATATTAGAGGACCATTAAATGTTACAAGATAAATGAAGACGAAATACATATGGAAGGGTCCAGATATGTAATGAAACGACAGAATAGGGATGTTATTGATGGACAAAAGACGGGTAGCTGAATGAGATGCCATATTGTCTACCGCATATATCATCCGATTATTAATGTACGCCTCCCAGCGCTGGTGGACCTACAACTTCGGGGTGCTGAAGCTTGAACTGTTACGGGAGCCCCTTCTCATAGAGTAGAGCCGAAGATTTTAAGCAAAGTGGATGAAAGTCACTTCTATGGCCTCTCTGGGACTAGGGCTCCTGAAGCTTAAGCTTCATAAGTTTCATAGGAGATCCACCCTGCCTCCCAGTGTGTGTTAACCCCCACACAACAGGTAAGGTAGCTAAGTATTGGCCAATATTAGTTTGCTTTTTTGTTAGGAGGCGTTGGGATATATTGCCAAGGTAATACCTTGGTAAGTAATATGTTCTTCACTTATTGAAATGTTCTTAATTGGAAAATAATAGACCAAGCAAAATACTTAAAGCCATCATGTCTGTTCAGATTTTTTATAATTATAGTCCACTAAATAGCCACTTTTACTGGTGTAAATTTTTATAAATATTCGGGAACTAAATGTTCTTAATCCAGGGTCCCAGAGTTAGTTGGGGAGCTGAGATGGTGAACATCGAAGGAGGGACATTGTTTGCGATCCCAGTGTTCCTAAACTCCCACAAATCTCCAAGATACATCAACATCAGTAAGTCATCATTTGTTTGTCAAGAGTTCTCAGTGTGTGGAATGTTGAAGGTTCAGTCGAGATTGTGTTCTCGTGAAAAAAAAAATCCCCCACATAATTTCTGACAGCATCTATAAATATCATGTTTAGGCTGAAAAACTTTACAAATCTTATTTTTTTTCCTCTCATGTTTCCACCTTACAGGTAAATTTCACTTTCACAGGGTTGGGACTGTTATTCCATTAGAACTTCAAAAATTTGCCTTTAATTATTCAGTTTAAAGATAATAGGAACATAGTACTGCAAATTTGTTTAATTACTAGGAGTAAAATAGTGTTAAAACTTGAAATTGTCAGAAAAAGAAGTGTAATTTGCAAACTGTAACTTGATTAGCACTAAAACAAACACACACACACATGGAGCAGGGAGACAGAGGACCCAGTAGCAACCAGTGAAGAGGCAGGGCCAGGAGCTAAGACTCGACCCCTGCAACCACAAATAGGTGAGTACACACACACACACACTGCCAGAAAGAGAGGTGAGGATGATCCAGCAAGACTAGACCTAGTATTCACTTTGAGTAGTTCGGACATCGAAGATATCACATATGAAAGGCCCCTTGAAGCTAGTGATCATGTGGTTCTGTGCTTTGATTACATAGTTGACCTCTAAGTGGAGAGGGTAGCAGGAATAGGACGAGAAAAACCAAACTACAAAAGGGAGGACTACACAGGCATGAGGAGCTTCGT